AAATGATCTGATATAAGACCAGTCTGCTAAAATTGAATATTAAAAAAATGTTAGGTAACATCAAAACACAACCAAAAAATAAAAAATAAATAAATAAAAGAAGAAATGTGTAAAAACTTAAAAGATCCTACAAATTTTCAACTTGATCCTCAAACAATTGCCAAAATAAAAACATATAAATTCTAATTTTTATTTTCAATCGAAAGAACCGAATAAATTAAACTAACTTTATTTGTTGATTTCATCGAGAAAGTAAATGTTTTTTGAACAAAAATTTATAGTTTGAGCCCTCCATTTGTTGCAAGAAGGCTCCGATGACGAGGAAGACTGCGAAATGATGGATACGGTTGTCAAATCACGGGGACTAGACTCTACCCATTTGGAATTCCAACTAAATCCAAGAGGTACAACTCCATCGCAAAAATAAAAACGAAACTCAATAATGGAGACTAAAACCAGACAAAGTTGGATTAGCAAAACAAAAAGAGAAAAGCGCACACCTAATCCTCGATATATATAATTTCCTAAAGTGTTGAACCTACGTGGCTGCTTCTGGTGCTTTGTAATCCTACTTGGCAAAAAATCATGCTTCGTAATTAGGTTTGGACAAATAATATGATATATTAATAATTAATAATCTAGGTTCGGACATTCCATAAATATTATTTATTTAACTTAGGTATTTTAATATCACTTGTACTAATATAACCCTTTAATTATTTGTAATTTTACATAGTGTGGCACTAAGAGCATCCACAATGCTTTGGGTCTCTTTTTGCATATGTGGCAAATAAATAGACTTAAGTCCATAATGACATGGACAAACCTAAACTAAAAAAAACCAAAATCTATCCAATGCAAAACAAAAAAGTACTAGGTCTAGAATACATGACAACCAATAAAAATGCTCTAGTATATTTCATTTATTAAAAGAAAAAATTAAATGAGGAATAAATGATGAGTGCTTGGGTTTGTACTTGGGTCTAAAATAGACCCAAGTGTGGACTAGGTCTCATTTTTTTATTGCCACATAAGCTAGACTAGGCCCACTTTTAATTGCATTGGAGAACACTTTTTTATAGACTAGGTCTATTTCTTACATGGCATGTAACTTTTTTCTAAGAAACACAAAGCATTGTGGGTGCTCTAAGAGCATGTTTGTTTATAAGATTTTTCAAAAAAAAAAAAAAAATCAATATTTTAACTCAACCATTTTTTTAACTCAACTATAATTATCATCAATATTATCAATATAATTAAATAATATCAACCAATCATTCATACACACCACATCAACCTTAATTCACTATTTATCCACTCACATTATTTTAACCAACCATCACATCACATCTTCTCTCTCATACTTTTACATCAAACCAATTTAAATAATTTAATTTTAAATATTATTTTAATATACCCACTAACAACTAATCATACCACATTTTCAAAATTAACCAAACCAATCTAAAAAATCCAAACAAACCCAAAAATTTTCATAAACAAACATGCTCCAAGTGACTAATATATCCCTGACTTTGATTTGTTTCCTTCAATTAGTTATTAAATTGTAAATGTATTTTAAAGTTAATAACTTTTGTATTTCTTATCGGTTTTACATATATTATATATCAAATTAATCATCTTTTAATGATCTTCGATTTGACATCCATATTGTATATATATGAAATAAATTTATATTTATCTTTATAATAATAAATAATAATAATATTTATTAAAATTCATTAGAAAAATAAAATTATTTCTCAATTGATATATTTATATGTAATAATTTTCGAATGCATTGAGCCTACGTGGCTGCTTCTGGTGCTTCGTAGTCCTACTTGGCGAAAAATCAGGCTTCGTAATTAAGTTTGGATAAATAGTATTGATATATTAATAATTAATAATCTAGGTTCGGGTATTTCATAAATATTATTTAACTAACTTAGGTATTTTACTATCACTTTTACTAATATAACCCTTTAATTTTTTGTAATTTTACATAGTGAGGCACTAAGTGACTAATATATCCCTGAATTTTGATTTGTTTCCTTCAATAAACTATTGAATTCTAAATGTATTTTAAAAGTTGATAACTTTTGTATTTCTTATCAGTTTTACATATATAATATATCAAATTAATCATCTTTTGATGATCTTCGATTTGACATCCATATTGTATATATGAAACAAATTTATATTTATTTTTATAATAATAATTAATAATAATACTTATTAAAATTCATTAGAAAAATAAAATTATTTATCAATTGATATATTTATTTGTAATGTAGTTATACGTTGTAAGTTAAAAAATTATTATAATATGACAGGTAAGTCGCACAAATAAAATGTGTCATACTAAATATATAATGATATATATATATATATATTTTGTAAAAGGTATTTAAAAATTTCAACTACTTTTTTCTCATTAATTATAGATTTAAAAAAAAAAATTAGCAAACACCCGTGTAATACACGGGTGTTGTACTAGTGTACATGTAAATTAGAGATGTTAAATGATCCTTGGCCTGACGGACCGGCCCGTTTAGCCCGAAAAAAAAACAGGGTTAGAGCCCTATTTTAGTAGCCCTTTAAATAAGGGCTTTTTAGGACCAGACTATTTAGCCCAAAACCCGACAGGGCTAGCCCATTTAACTTGGGTTGAACGATGTAAATGTTTGCAGTAGGTAAAAAATATGTCTCAAGATTTCTTGTATATTACAATTTTGAAATTTTACTTCATATGTAACTATAAGTTGTATGGGGTTAATATGATTTTAAAAGATAATTATTAACAATTTCGTTATTCGACTTCACACCAAATTATTTAAGCCAATTAAAACGGCTAATAGAAAACACATGAGACAAAGACATAAAACATAAAATATAGTGATAGAATATAAATTCAGCAGTATGATACAATATCGTAAAAATTTCCAAAGCGCACAAAATAAGTAGAACAATGGTAATTATAAATAATAGTTCAAACAATTTTTTTAATTTTTTTTAAGAAAAAAAATATGACATTTAAGAGTTTGTAATATTTGTTAATACATAAATTGTAGTTATATATAGAGCAATAAATACTAAATAGCCGTTTAAATCAATTGTTAACTAGCCGTTGCAATTTTTATTTATATGTTTTTATATTATTATTATTATTATTATTATTATTATTATTATTATTATTATTATTATTATTATTATTATTGTTGTTGTTGTTGTTGTTGTTGTTGTTGTTCGTTTAGCCCGAAGTCAAATAAGGTTAGGGTTAGGTCCTTTAATTGGTAGCCCGTTTAAATTCGGACTTTTTATGCCCGAATCATTTAGCCCGAACCCGCTAGGGCTAACCCGAAACCGCCAAGAGTAGCCCGTTTAACATCTCTAATATAAACTAAGACCTCTCGTACACCTAACAGACCCAACGCACGACCACCTGAGTCTGCACACAAGCAGCTCCCATTAGCACAGAGATCCAACAAAGCAGCAAACCGGAACCTCAAACCTGAAAATTGCGGCCACTCGCCCCAGGTGGATTTGATGAAGAGTCGATTCGGATCTGGACTTCAAAAAATCTTCCATGCTGGGGCAGAGGGGAAGCCGCCACAAAGACGTCAAAAACTCCGTCAGAGGGATCCAAAGATGGTCCAAACGCGTAGCCGAGCCACACCCTTGGACACAACACCGAAAGAACAAGAACCCAGGCGCACCGACGAACTCCAGTGGTTGAGGGGTAGACGCTAACAATCGACGACTCTATCTTAGCCGGGGGGAGGGCAAAGCGGCAAGCGCCAATCCCGACTAAACACCCGCAAGGCTTCGGAAGAGGTGGAAAGGAGAGCCCCCAGCCCCAGCTCGGTGGAACTCGGTGGAATCTGGCTCTGGAAGCTCGACGGCAGGACACCGGTGGAGGAGGGGCAGTGAATTGAGAGGACAATGGACGCTATTTTTTTCAGATTTGAGGGAGAAGTGGGGCGCGCCCCCTCAGACGTGTAATTTTAGTCACTTGCCAATGCGTTTTTCTGGAGCAACGAAGAGTTGATTCAAATTGTAAAAATAAGGTAGGGAGTGCAACACATGTATTTTGCTTAAGGACTGATAAAGAAAATGTGAAGTAGTGGAAGGATTTAAGAAGATAAAACCGAAATCAAAATTCTTCCCTCTGATTATACCCGAAAACACTTGAGAGAACCTAAAAATATCTAAAAGACTCAAAAGAACTAAAAGCTTGAAATCTGAACCAAAAAAAAAAAACAGAAAAACTAAATTTGACTCTATTTGATTTGACACGAGTTCTTGTCACAAGGCACAATAGTATACGAGTATGTCTATATGCTCTATTCTCCAACTTGGTCTATATACAAGAGTCATGATATGAGGTGTATTTTTGTTGAAACAAAAGCACCAAAGAATCATATCTCCATGATCTTACCTTCACATTCGGAAGTGGAGATGCTGGAAATCGTCCTGCTTGTTTGGTGCTAAGCTTTTACACCAGTACCCACTTGAAACAAAACTAATTTGGCAGTGAGTTTGTAATAAATTTAAGACCTCAATTAGGTCATCTGTCACTGATACCGGTCTCCCATCACGAGATTCTTATATCAGAATGATGACACGGAAAGTCTTGATTTACACACACACACACACACACACACACACACATATATATCTATTGTTCAGCGAGATACGAACCTTTTCTGAATTCTTATTTCCCATGCTTGGTTTTTGCTGTAGCTGATTTGGTATCTTACTGTGCAAGCTGCCATTCTCCATTCACCTCGGTTAAACATGTCTACCCTATATGGTTTGCTAATCGACCAAAAAATGTACCATTAGTCTACAGGAGTAAAAATATGCTGCAGTATCTTCACAAGTGAGGGCAAGAATATATATAGCCATTCTGAAACGCCCGAGTACAAGGATGAGAAAACACAAACCTGCATGACCTCTGCATTAAAAACGAGCTCCTAGAACAAAATGACATTTACAAGGAGCCATCCTCCTTCAGGAGAGCCATCAAGACTGCTCAACATCCTCGCCCAAAAATCATTATCACTTGGGAGCTTTGTGTTCGCTCAAAAATCATTATTTTCACCGATTAGAAAATTTCTTTTGGTGAGACGACACGCATTCCTAGCTAGTGGCTACTGATCTTTGGCCCAAATGGGTTTTTCCAAAAGCCAAAGCCTGGTCTCCTTCTACAATGATGATTTCGGACTAATCAAGGCTTTTTTTTTACGGAGTTAATGTTGTTTCCAGTGCAGCAATAATATGCTTCATGTTAAAAGCTATCCCAACACTTATGGCTGAAAAGAAGGAACTGATGAAAGACCAGTTTCATAAACTATAGAGGTTTAACAAATATCAGCACAAGAAATTCTCAGCTTAAAAGGCATTAACATTGTCTCCTGCATATGTAAGAGGATTTTCACGTCTTTCTTGGACAGGTTTCAACAATTAGTCAATGTTGTATTACCTGATATCCCAAAAAGTATATCCAATACATTTAAAAAATCTTGATTTATTTTAAAGGTAAGATGATCATTTCCAACTCAAATGGTATGGTCACCAAAGGATTCACCATGTGTCAAACATGATAAATTTTATTGCAAGCTTAGACTTTTGGTGCCTACGGAGTTGGAGCTTTAACTGAGCTCGTGCCAAAGAATATTCAGCCATGGCTACTGACATCCTTATACATTGGAATTTGCTAACCCGCAACCTATGGCAAACATGGTTCGGGTAAAAAGGTGGGCGGGAGCTCAAAAGCCTTTTAGCTTCTGAACCTCAAAGCCCACAGTTCAAAGTGAGTTCAAAGTGCCTGGTGACTCAGGGCCCTTTACTATCTATGGTGGCAAAGCCTGCTATCCAATATTTCCTTTTTCTTCTCTTTGCAAACACTTCCTAGAGAAACTGAAGGCAGCAGAAAAATATAGCAAATAAATTTAGTATGAAAAATATTTCATATGGATTTCTAGGGTTGCTAGGGACTACAAAAGCAAAAGGACTTCTAATAATGATTCCATGCTGAGGAAATCGGTCACTGGAAGTAAAAAAAAAAAAAAAAAATAACAAAGTCATATTAAATGTAGTTCTACTATGCTACAGCAATAAAATTACTGCTAGTCAGATTTATAAGAATAGTTATAGAGATGGAGTATGTTTTGCTACGATAATAAAGGATCTTACAATACTCAACCGTATCTCAAACAGTTCGTATCATCAAAACTATTGAAGCTTGAGATCAATACATCGAGTGTTTAATGCAATATATGCTTCGACAACCTACAAAAAATTTGTAACTGAAAATTATTTTGAAGTGGGACTTCTACGCGTCTCTGTCACGTAATCTGTGAAGGTCATTCCTTTCCACATTATCAGAAAACAAAAGACGTGAAATTATTCTCATGGCTGACCTGATTTCTAAACATGAAATACAGTTTAACATGTGCGCATCTATGTATGAACAACGCATGTTTTTGGTCCACAATTTGCTGGATACTCGAGATGCATCTTACCAACATAGTATATTAACAACACCAAATATCTCAAGCATTAAGCACTATTTTATAGCATTCACCAATCACCACAAAGAGGCAATCCACAAGGCAACCACTACAAACAGATAGAAAAGCACATTAAACATTTCAAAAGTCAAAATACAAACAAGTTTAAGTTACAAGCCGAAATTCATAAACCTGAACCATTCAGCTGAACATTATTTCCCCATCAAAATCCATCTCTGCCAGACATCACATCAGTGCTTCGTTCTCCCATCACCCTCTGTGATCACATCTTTAAAGCCACCACCACTGGGTATCATGGGCAACACATGCTCTTGATGAGGTACGATGACATCCAACAGATATGGCCCAGGAGTATCCAACATTTTCTGAATTGCTGCCCTAAGATCACCTTTTTTTGTCACGCGAGCTGCAGGTATATCACACGCTTCCGCAAACTTCATCATATCTGGGAAAATCTCCGACTCATTAGATGGATTCCCCAGATAAGTATGTGCCCGGTTAGACTTGTAAAACCGATCTTCCCACTGGACCACCATGCCCAAATGCTGGTTATTCAACAACATAATCTTAACAGGAAGGTTCTCCACGCGGATGGTGGCCAACTCCTGCACGTTCATGATGAAACTTCCATCACCATCAATGTCCACCACAACAGCATCTGGCCTTGCTACAGCTGCTCCGATTGCTGCTGGGAGTCCGAAGCCCATGGCTCCTAAGCCACTAGACGTCAACCACTGGCGTGGCTTATTGTACTTGTAAAATTGTGCGGCCCACATCTGATGCTGTCCAACGCCAGTGCTGATGATTGCATTCCCACCCGTCAGCTCGTCAAGTGTCTGAATTGCGTACTGGGGAGGAATGGCGTCCTCAAATGTCTTGAAACTCAGGGGAAACTTCTTCTTCTGCTCTTTAAGCTCTTCCCTCCAGACTGAGAAGCCGAAAGTATTACCCCCATAACCTTTTTCTTCCAATATCAAATTCAAGCCCTCCAATGCCAACTTAATATCAGCACAAATCGAGACGTGTGGTTGCTTGTTCTTTCCTAACTCGGCAGAGTCAATATCAATGTGGACAATTTTCGCCCGACTGGCAAATGCTTCCAGCTTGCCCGTCACGCGATCATCAAACCTGACCCCAAAAGCCAGCAATAAATCACTCTTATCCACAGCATAGTTGGCATACACAGTTCCATGCATCCCCAACATCTGCAATGAAATCTCATCATCCGAGCCTGGATAAGACCCGAGACCCATTAACGTGCTGGCAACAGGTATTCCTGTAAGCTCCACAAACCGGTTCAACTCTTCGCTCGAATTCAAACACCCGCCACCAACATAAAGGACCGGTCTTTTCGACTCAGATATTAACCTAACTACCTGCTCCAGCAACATACCACTTGGCGGCTTAGGCAGCCTAGACAGATAGCCGCCTAAACGCATAGGCCGGTCCCAATTCGGGACCACCATCTGCTGTTGAATATCTTTCGGGATATCAATCAAAACAGGTCCGGGCCTTCCCGACCGTGCAATGAAGAAAGCCTCCTTCACAACCCGAGGAATATCCTCAACATCGAGAACGAGATAGTTATGCTTGGTGATCGAACGAGTTACCTCTACAATTGGGGTCTCTTGGAAAGCATCAGTGCCGATCATGCGGCGGGGGACTTGGCCAGTGATGGCAACAAGGGGCACGCTGTCCAGAAGAGCATCAGCGAGGCCGGAGACCAAATTGGTGGCCCCGGGGCCCGATGTGGCGATGCAGACACCTGGGAGGCCGGAGGCTCGGGCATAGCCCTCGGCGGCAAAGATGCCGCCTTGCTCGTGGCGGGGGAGCACGTTGCGTATGACGGTGGAGCGCGTCAGGGCTTGGTGTATCTCCATGGATGCGCCTCCTGGGTAGGCGAAGACGTCAGTGACTCCTTCCCGCTCGAGCGCTTCCACCAGGACGTCGGAGCCCTTGCGAGGCTCGTCGGCAGCAAATCGGGAAACGAAAGTCTCCTCATTGATGAGTTTTTCGGCGGGGGAAGTGAGTACGCTTGAAATTTGGAGCGCCTGCCGGCGGTGCGAGGTGGAGGTGGACGCGGCGGCGGGCCTCCGGGGGTTGTGAGAGAATGTGAGGGCGAATCCGGAAAGAAGTTTCGGCGAGTTGAGAAAAGCAGAGCGTTTAGAGAATGTGTAGGAGGTTGGTGAGGGAGCTGACGCCGCCATTGCTGACGGAGGAAAGATTCGAGGAAAGGGGACGGCGGCGTTTGTTAGGCTTTCGCTGGCGGATCTAAAATGAAGCCTAATCAGGATGGAAAGCAATTTTTTTATACAGACG